TATATATATATGATGTTGAAACTGATGTTGAAACTGATGATGGCAATGACAGTGAAAATGCAGGTGTGTGTGAGTCTTTGGTACATCTTTTCAAACAGTCAACACAAGTCTTTAAGAAGCCGGTAGAACAATGAAATGGCCTTGTTAAGCTCACACGAGACACATTGTAATGTTGCAAAATAAACAGCAGATGAAAAAGCAGGAACAAAACAAAATGTTTCACATTCACATGTATGTACAGTCTGAACATCACTACAACACCTTAATCTGATTGTCTGGTTTTTTCGGCGCATGTGACATTTTCACTTTTCACAGCTGCAGGTCCATCAACATGAAGCCACAAAACAGCCGATGTGGCGTGAACACTCATCACAATCACACAGTTAATGGCCCCTGTCTCACAGACCCCCTCCCAACTCCCCTTTTTGTACATTAAATAGAATAAAGCAAGGCACTCTGGGTAAAAGAAGGCAAAAGCGGGTGCCTGGAAAATTACCTGCCATTAATCTGTGCAAACAATTGCCTTTTGAGCCCCTGTGATTGGAAACACAGCTAAATTAAAAGTCGTCTTTCAGCTGACCTGACAGAAAGCGTTGTGGCTCGGAAACGGTCGTATTTAGCTGTAGTGTACCTTTTCCTTCATAGCGTAGAGGCTCTTTATAACCCCACTCCCTTAGCCTTCTTATTGCCTTTCTTCCTTTCTTTCTTCTTTGCTGCTTGGCTCCCTGACTGAGCTGAAATTACCTTAAATTGGTCTGAACTGGATGGAAACACTAAAGTGCTGCTCAGTCAGTCTACTTTCTGGCAAAAGAAAGCTAAGAAACAATAAAAATTGGTTAAAAAAAAAAGAACGAAAACTAACTCAGGAATTCACAGTCACTCTTTGTCACACTTCAACAAGCTGATCCGGCCATAAAGAGCAGCTTTAAGCCTCAAGTCAGCTCTCCAGACAAAAAAGAAAAGAATAACACATTCAGACATAATGAGGATGTCAGCATGAACCTTTCAATGGGTGCTCAAAGAACTCCAAGAACATTTGCGAATAATAAAATGGGGAAAACTCATAATGTCCTTCATTTAATCCACCATAAAAAAAGGTAAAATGAAACACAAACAAATGAAAAACACAGATGCTAAGGACAGACCCATATGGGATTTCCAAGTTGAACAGGGGGCTCAATCAAACGTATGCTATCAAACTTGGGTTTACATAACATCATAAGTAATTCTTTGAAATATCACATATTTCGCTATAACAGCAACTTTTAATTAAATTCTGCAGATTAAACATTTGAATGCAAGGCTCGAAAACATCATCCAAAAAAACCCAAAACCCATTACCTCAAACATAAAAATCCTCCATAAATGTGTTTTAGATCAACAGAGTCCATTTTAGGAGGGAGGTTACTGTAAGGAACTGACAAATTGGTAAGCCCATATTTGGTCTAGCCCTGCAATCCTTCATTCTGTGGCTTTGTGGTGTCCATGTTGAAGTGAATACCCAAAACTGAGCAGAACAGAAGACAAATGGTGAACAGAACCAAACTTAAAATAAAAGGAATCACAACTGTGAGGAGGTGGGTGATGTGCAGGGAAATCAGTGCAGCTTTGGTGGAAGAACATTGGCTTTGCCAAATAAGTCCCAGCGTGACTACCACACCCGGTTGGTCCAATAGATCTCCCTGTGGTACATTGCTGTGTTTGCGTAGTCTCCTACCTGTTTGTTGCTGTATTTGGGTGGGTTGGCCTTGTAGCTGTAATCCGAATATTGGTCGGAGCCAGTAGAGTTGTTGTCGCCCGTCCCCACGAAGGTATTGGTGGCAGGGAGGTCCTGAACAGCCTGGTGCTTCTTGGAGGCAGACGGTGACTGTGGCTGCAGCTGGATGGATGGTAGCGGGGAGTTGGAGCGGTAGTGGCGCCCCAGATCAGGGCTCCCTGGTGGATAGTTAAGGGGCAGGTGGATTCTGGGACTGTCATTGACATTCTCATTGATTAAGTTGAATTTGAGGCCTTTTTGTAGACTGGCGTCCTCATCATCTTCTCCTGTCTTAGCTGGTTTTGGAGCCTTCCCCTTTTTGCTCTTTTTCCCTTTGCCATTTTTAGGGCCCTGCTTTGGGGCATACAGGTCCTTACTCTCCTTCTTGCCAGCCTGGTAACCACTCTTGGTATCCTTCTGTACCCAGCGTCTGATGAGGACCACGGCAACTATAACTAAAATGACAACAGCAAAACCGGCAAGACTGCCGTACAGAATATTGCTTTGCTGAGAATAGGCATAGTTGGGATCTCCGGCAATGTCCCTGTCCAAAGGGGTGTAGAGGCTGTGTCCAACCAGCGCTTCAATGAGGGAGACATTTGATTTTGTTTCATTTACAAAAACATGAACTAGTGCAATGGTGTTACGAGGAGGTTTTCCCTTATCAACAACCTTCACTACCAGCCGATGTAGCCCATTGTACTTCGGGGTTAATTCTTGTGCTGCTGTGATTTCCCCATCATTGGTAGATATTTGGAACAGATCATATGGATTTCCACCTATGATGGTATACTCTAGCTCAGCATTGAGTCCAGCATCAATGTCCTCAGCTTTTACCACCTCCACGTGTGTGTTTGGTCGGGTCCCAACCGGTAGGTGTACAAAGGACGAGTTAGACGGCCTGGTAACATATGGGGCATTATCATTTTCATCCAACACATTGATGGTCACACCCACATAGGAGGATCGAGGTGGGTTACCACCATCCACAGCCTTTAGTTGAAATGTGTAGGTGCTCTTCTTTTCACGGTCGAAGGAGATGCTTGACAGGATGGTTCCTGTGCCATTCTGGATGACAAACATGCCATTGTCCTGTTCCACAAACAGCCTGACTTGGGAATTCTCATCTTTATCTGCATCATTGACTGTCACTACACCAACAGGATTGAGTGGAGGCATGTTCTCTATGACAGAGAAGCTATAGCCATTCAGTGTAAACTTTGGGTCATTGTCATTGCAATCTAGAACATTTACCACCACCGTGGCAGTGCCGGTTTTACTAGGCACACCCTTGTCTGCTGCAGTTACACGGAATTCATAACGCTCTTTTTCTTCCCGATCCAATGAGTGATTCACACGAACTTCTCCAGTGCTGGAATTAATTTTAAAGAGCCTTCTGGCTGTTGAATCAGTGATGGTATAGAACAACTCTGCGTTTGTGCCGCTGTCTGCATCTGTCGCCACAATGTCTAGAACTTTGTCTCCTGGCTGGTTGCCTTCTGCAAAGTCCACCTCAACAGTTGAAGGAGAAAAGTTTGGTGCATTATCATTAATATCTGTAACCTGGACTTTGAGAGCATTAGTGCTGGACAGAGCTGGGTTTCCAGAATCCACAGCGACTATTTCAATCCTGTAATCCTTAATACGCTCATAATCCAGCAGGGTTGTCGTCTGCAGGAAGTATTTTCTCTTCCGATCGTTGGCTGACTCACTTGCGGGACGAAGCTGAAATGGAACATCACCAGCAACAACACATGTCACCACAGCATTTTCCCCCTCATCACGGTCTGACACCTGGACCAGTGCCACTGGTGTACCAATAGGCATGTCCTCAGAAATGTTGGCCACACCATCGTGATGAGTTACCAAGCCAATACCACGGATCTCAATGGCTGGTGCATTGTCATTTTGGTCCTTGACATGTACGGTCACAAGGACCTTGGAACTCTTGGAATTGGGTCCACGATCTCTTGCCACCACAAAGAACTTGAGAAAGTTTTCTTCTTCTCTGTCCACAAGACCTTTGACGTAGACGATGCCTGTTGCGCGGTCAATGCGCAGAAGCCTTTGGACAGATTCTGATGCTTGATGGAGGCTGTAGTCTATCTCTCCATTGAGGCCAGTGTCTGCGTCGTTGGCTTTGACCTACAAGAGTTGGAAAAAAACAAAAGACAGACAGACAGAGGGACAGAAAAAAACAAAGAAACAGATTCAATCTTTTAGCCAAACACTGTCCAAAACAACATTAAGAATCAGATCATTTGCCTGTTCAGAATTGCATTTGGTACACTGGAAAATCAAAATATCATCAAAACATTGATCTTTTGGCAGGTTTGCAGTTTTCATGACAAGCAATAAATATTCTATATTTAATACATTCAACGTTAGAATAAAAGTCTGAAGTAATCTCAGACTAAAAGAATGATTCGCCACGCTCTTTTTCATGTGACGTCATTGAAATACGCGTCATGATTCCATTACAGTCTCTGTTAAATTTTAATGATTATTTAGCTTCTTTGGCTAATGAAGAGTCATGACCATTACTAATGCAACAGTACAAGGCCCTTTATGTTTTCCTCAGGGGGAGGAGTTTGTATGCTGCGAAAGATAATACCCGATCAAAGCTGATTGCACAACCCTACACAACAACATCTAACGGCCGTGCAGCGGGTCATTGGCATCTAATGGGCAGACGAGTGAATGTTAATGTTCCTCTCATTATCAGAAAAGCCCCAGCTCCTCAGGGCCCATTAGGAGACTGAATAGGACAGAACAGAATGAACCACAAGCTGACTTCATAAGTCCAAACCTAAAGTGAATGGGGGCAGTTAGTCATTAGGAGATATGAGAAGTCAGCAAAATATCACTTAGGAAATACTCGTTAACACACCTGTCCTATCTACGGATCTAAACCGTTTTAATTGCAGTCATTGAATGCCATGGCTGCCGGTCAGAAATGTAGGTTGTTTCAAATTAAGCAGTTCTTGAACAGCTGATTTAAATGTCCCAGGTGCTGCTGATCCAGTGTTTGTACAGCCTTCACCCAGGACAGAGTAATGTAATTATGTTTGGGTTTTTTTATTCTTCTTTTTTTAAGGCCATTATACCTTTAAAGCTGGGCTGGTTCTTAGCCAAGCTTGCACTCAGTAATATATTTCCCTGAAATTTAAGTCCAAAATATTATGATTTACTAAAATACAAAACAGGAATCTGCCAATGGGATAAGATTATTAGGGCTACTTTTTAAAGAACCAATCAAACATAAGGGATTGCTTCTGGTCGTAGCTTCGTATTTATCCAAATAAGAAACACCCTTTAAAGCCCCTAAAAACACCAGCTACGTTAGTAATCAAAATCTAATATAATGTAAACATGATATAAGTTCAATGAAGATACAGATTATACCATATCCAAAACCATTTAAATCAGTTTTTAGGAGGAAATCAGGGTTTAAAAGGCTACTGCTAACAGAATCTCTGAAGACTCTTGTTTTTCACACAGACTCCAGTTCAAACTGCCACATAATAAATATGTTGTTTATCGTCTGCTCAAGAAACTCACAAACTGTGACGGACCACCACCAGCATCATGATGTGACCATAGAAGCTGCTGATCCAAGTCAGAGAGGTTAAGGTTAAAGAAAGCATGAAAGTGAAATTATAATTTCTCCTGCCCATTGATTTCCTTTCCTTTGCTCTGGCCTTAAGCAGCAGACATCACCAAACAGCGGTGAATTATTGACAGCTTCTGAGAATTGTGTATTGAACAGTGTTGCTGCTGGAGCCCGGTGCCACTGTGATGGGGACAGAGCTGCACTGGCTGCGCTCCAAGGCCACTTTGTCCAGGCATACAGAAACTATAAACACTCTTTATCTACCAGTTAACAATTAACCTGCAAGAGCGTCTGGTTTCCTGACTGAGTGAACCAGAGTTTCTGAATGTTTCAGGTGATTTACAACAGTAAACCTTTAATTTATTCCAACATTCTCCAAATCAGCCTGGTTTCTCCCCCTCCACGAAACTATTAGAGAATTTATTCCCGAGGAAATGAGCTTGCAGACACTTAACGCAGAGAGATAATCTATCACAGTTTATATCCTGTCTAGTTTATTGTTGACTAAATTACATTATAATGACGTGGCAGTTCAGTGTGGACTCTTCAAACCATTTGAGGCTGCTTTTTGAACTAATTAATCAGCTCGTCAACATCATATTGTTTTTTAAATCATCTTTAGGATTTTAGTGACTACGCATTAGGGACCCCAGTCAATATTCTTTGGTCTTTAATAAGCGCTAAATTTCAAGGATCTGTCATCTGCTAATTACTTGATTAAAGGCTCTAAAAACTGTTAATTGTTCTGACTCAGCTTGTTGATATGGTTGATTAGAGCTACATTTAAAAGAAAAGATGCCAAATTTCGAGCTGCTCTGGTTGATGTCCTTCTGGTTAGCTTCCATTTCTGAAGGGTTTCAGGTAGGCGGAGCTAAGTTCAAAAGCTTTAAATGCAGTGGTGCAGAAAGGATCAGTGAATTCAACGTGGCAAGGTGGGGATATCATGTACCTAAGTGCACCTATCAGGCACAAGAGCAACATTTGAATGTAAAGAAAGAAAAATCGGATCAAAAACCACACCCACACAGGCTCTGTAACTGGGCTTTTCCACACATTAAATATATAAGAACAGAAGAATTGTTCAAAGGAATTTACTTTAGGTTACATTAAAAGGGAATATCAATCAAATCTTTTTTATGCATTATTTTTATCCAGAATATTTTTTTTTCCAAAAATCTAGTGATTTAAATTTGAATTTGCCCATTTTTAGACAACAAAGTTAGACCCACTGATGTTACTTTTTTTGAGATAACAATCTGGCTGCCTGAAGGTCTAAAATAAGGTGACTCGATACTGAAACAGCTTTAGAAGAGGCTAACAATAATCACAAAGCAGCAGTGTGTTCCTTTAAAAAACAAGTCAAAAGAAAGGGATATACATGTCTGTGTTGCCATTGGCTGATTTAAGAAGGTCAGGGTCGTCAGTCGGCGATGTCCTGCTGCCTCTAAAGCATCGCTCCTCAAACGCACGTTAAGTGAAATGAATTCTGTGGCTCTCTGAAATGCAATGAGCCACATCCAGAGCAATAATACCAATAAGCCCCGTGGATAATCTCATGACTGACTCAGATTAAGTCATGCACAGCAAGCTGGAAGGCTGGCTGGCTGGCCGCACTGCAGTCTGGGAGAAGGGGCACGAAAAGTGGAGGATGACATGGTGAAGTGGGTTTGTTGGGATGTTGCGGAGTCACCGAGCCAAACCGGGCCTTCCTGCTCTGCTCGCTGACGGCAACATCACGTACCGCCGCTCCAGCCGGGGGCTCAAAGGTGAAGTTGAATCAGTGGTTAATATGTGACTACACACAGCGATCCCACGCCCCGCTTCACCTCCGCTGCACCATCTGTCTGTACGGATAATTGAGCAGCATATTACGTGCAGTCGCTGCTCCGTGTTGTCCTGCAGTGTTATCGCCAACAAGGCCAAAGGTTCCACTGCAATGTTCGGCGGACAAGAAAAACTCTGGATTGACTCCTGAACAGCAGCAGCAGCAGCGCTCACACGCAGTTTTGCCTGGAGAGAACTAACTTTGCTACTTTTAAAATAACACAATAATAATCATTTACTTGTGATATTTTAGATTAATAGACTGTAAATGAAAAAGCTCCCATAAGGCTGGATCTCATATGGTTGAGACTTGTATCCCTAAATCACACATAGGGGACAATTTTGAGTAAATAAGAACTGTCCTCAACTTCCACTTCATATTGAATTTTTCAAAATGGAAAAGGTTTTAACAGCAAAGCTTTACTGCCAAAACAAACAAGTGACTTCATTTTAAGGAAGTTCTAGTTTCTGAAAACCTGCCCACGCAACACAACTGAAAGCCGACGATCTGTTGGGTGTGAAGAGGTAAACATGTTGAAACCTTTAAATGCAAAATGTAAGTGTTTAAAGTTACATTTTTCACTGAAAAACATTAATCAGAGGATAAATGACTGATTAGCTATCGATAATAAATCAGAGCTAACGGCTCTACAGATTCAGATAAAATGAATTGTACGACACTGATGTGTGTGCTGACCTGCAGTACAGAGTGTCCCGGTGGACTGTTTTCTGGTAGGTCAGCTTCGTAGTGACTTTTCTCAAACTTCGGAGTGCAGTCGTTCTGGTCGGTCACCGTAACTCTCAGCAGAGCGCTGCTGGCCCTCGAAGGCTTCCCGCCATCCTGTACCCTAATGTTCAGGTCATACGAGTCCTTTATCTCACGATCTAAGTTGCCCATCACGACCAGCTGCGGCAGCTTCTCCTCCGCGTCCACGGCGACCTGCAGGCTGAAGAGCTGGTCAGCGCCTAATCCGGTGCTACTGCTCAGAGAGTAATCTGCCACGCCGTTGCTCCCCGAGTCTCTGTCAGTGGCCATGGGGATGGAGAAGAGGGCGCCGATGTGCGTGTTCTCGGGAATGGACAGAGTCAGGATAGGCGAGGAGAACTGTGGAGTGTTGTCATTTATGTCCAGGACCTCGATGCGACCTTCAATGAGCCGCGGCCCATTGCCGATACCCTTCACCATGTCAGTGATCGACACCTCAAATTCCAGGTAGCATTTGTCGCCCTCGAACAGGTTGCGGCAGTCTCTCAGCGTCTCACGATCGATGGGGATCTCGGTGGTGTAGATGTCACCGGTCGAGCCGTCGACCCTCAGGTACGGCGCACCCACCTCCAGCTTATAGAGATGACCGGCATTGGGCAGGCCCTGGTCTGTCGCCAGGCTGCCAATCATCGTGTTGGGCGGTCGTTCCTCAAAAACCTGATAGAGGATGTCACTGGGCGAGGCGCTGCAAGACACCAGCAGGAAGGCAGCTAAAAAGAACAAAGCTTCACACCTCGGCGCTGCCATGTCTCTGCCAGAAAACACCGCTCTGAAACAGACAGAGACAGAAAACACATTAGTAAGACTCATGTTCTGCTTCAGACGGCACCAAACAAGACTGATAACTGAGGATCTGCAGAGCTGCTGCTCAGATTTATTTCAGGGCCACTCAAGAAAAGATGGCTAAATTCATCTCCTTCAGCGTCTAAACATATCCTCAATGGTTACTCGCCAGACCCGAATGCGGAAAGTTTTCGAGTCTGAACTCATCGGCTGAGACGGTGTGGGGAGAGCAGCCGAGCAGGGTAGAGTGATGACTTCCTCCTGCTACCAGTCGACTGCTCTGGCAGGAAGACAAACTGAACGCTGCTGCAGGCGACCAAAAATACTGACAAGAGGCAGCAGGTGGTAATGGGCCACATGATTAGAATAAAAAAGTAAGATAACATGTGGGGAGGACCGCACTCGTAGAAAATCGGATCATTTTCATGTCTTTCGTGCGTCTCAAAACATGTTTAGTTTGCAATCCAACCTAAAGTCCAACATTCTGAGTAGCCTATAGCATTGAAGGCTGTTTGCAGGGATAATAAACTCAAATTTAAGCTTTTTAAATGTCAAACAGAATTTCAAGCAAGAGTAGATCTTGTTCCTGTGCAAGCAATTCAAGACATAAAGAAAAACATTTGCCATCGCCTTCATCACACACTACTTGTTGGGCATAGTACTTGTTTTCCAGCATAATACAAATGTGGTACAACAGGTTCAGCAAGTCATCAGTGATTGAATGCTTCAGGTAACCGTTTTATAACTACACAAGACACACAAACCTCCAACTAAGAGTTTATTAGTTTTAAGCTTAAGTACATTTCAGACTTCACTTGACCTTGCAGACTCTCAGAAGAAATCCTTTTTTCTACAGAACTCATAAGAGTCGACTCTGCCGTCAAGTCTGAATGTGTTTACTCAAACCGACTTCATTCCTGATGGCCTGGTGTTCATAACGCTACATCTGAGCCAGACTCTTCTTGATATAAACTCTTCTCTTTTCTTCTCCCCTCATTCACTCCACCTCTCCTCCTCTTTCTTCTGTCTCTACACATTATCTTTTCTTGGCAGTAAATCTCAGACAGACACTCCACTCTGTATTTCCTGCTGTAGGAGTTTCTCAGCTGCGGGTCGCAGAGGTTAATCTGAAGAGTGCTTCTTTTTTTTTTACTTTTCCTCCTCACGTACTTGATTTGGAGAGACTATCTCCCTCTCA